TTGCTTCTTTTGTATCTTGAAAGCAACTGGATCACCTATGGAACTGCAAGGAGCTTTCCCCAGCTAACACCTAGAGGTTGCTTCCTGGGTGGCTTTTTCCGAACACAAAACGTAGCCCAGGATTTCAGAGAGCTTTTGGGGCACTTGGGCCAAATTTGAAATGAATCTAGATATTACTATTTTGTTGTATTTGGAAAACTTCTGTGGACTGTAGGTGCTGCATGTTTCCAATCTGCCTCTGATATTTGCTTTGAATCTTTGGGCCTGTTGGAATCCAAAGCCAGGAAGGTTCACGCAAAGTGTTGTGACCCAAAACTGTTTAATCTCAGATCTGCGGTCTCGGAGCCACAGCCTGACTTGGATATCTGATGAGTATCAGCTGAGCAAGCATCTCAGAATCTGACTTCTGCCCATGAACCATAAACCGTCTCCCCAGGGAACAAGAAAGTAAATTGGCTTTTGTGCAGGAGCAGCCAGCTAGACCAGGGCCGTGGTTTCCTCGTGCTCGATACCAGACCCCACGGTGCTGTGCTGCAAAGTTCTCCTTCCTTCTAAGTGAAGCCATATGAAAAAAAAAAAAAAATCAACTTTTCTAAGAGTGGTTGAACCAACCAATTTGTTCAAGCTATTCTTCTGGTCGATTCATTCTTAACTGAAAAAACACTGATTATGTTGAAAGCAACTTGAAAAATGCCAAAAGGGAAGAAGGGGAAACAAGTTAAACCATTCCAAGGTCACCAAAAAAAAACCCCAAAATTAAATGCAACCAGGAGTGGTGTAAACAATGGTGTAAAACTTAATAGCGTGTTAGAGCACAATATGTTAGATATGAGCTCCTCTAGAAAATAAGGTCCTAAAAGTAACCTTAACATTTATCATTGAGAGGCCACAACATGATCAGCTCACTGTGTCATGCTTGCAAGGGGAAAAAACCCCTCTGATTTAAGGATCCGGTAAGATAGATCTTCATTTCACTTGGTCAAGGTTTATACTTGAATGCTGTTTCTAGCTACTTTGGATCAACATATCCAAAAATTAAGTGCCCAAGCAGCACATGGCTTGAAGGAAGAGATGTGTCCAGTCATGGTACATGTCTGTGTGTACGTTCTTAGTGGAAAAGGGTGATGTGTAGGAGAAACATGAAAGGAAAAGCACAAGCTGGTGCCACAAGTTCTTGTGTAAAATGTGCTTTACTGGCATAGCATTTAAAAAGCAGTGTCTGTATTCAGTGAGGTTTTTCTGGGCTGTGGTACCAGGTTCTTTCTTAGCAGCTTTGTAAACTGTCCTCGAGGAACATTGGTTTGCCTTGTGCCCAGCAGGAATTTGCCCAGGCCACGATTTGCCCATGCAGCTGAAGGGCTGGGAGGCAGCAATGCAGCCTCTTAACCACGGGAACATGGGTTAAGGACCAGACTTCCTTTAATTACAAGGGGTAAAAAGACAATAAACACATGTACCATAGACCTGCTTTCCCAGTGTTGATGGATTACAGCGCTCATCAAGCAGCCCAATTTGTAGTTACCCAATCTGCAGTGGGTAAATTAGTTCAAACAAAGGTTATTTACTGCACTGTGGACAATTACATGGGCTTGGCTTTTGTCAATATTTTGTGTGAGCTATAAAGTGATGTTGATTTTTAATATTTCATTTACTTGCCCACGGTAGATGACATAAGTGGCTGCTACCCAGCAATTGTGAGTCTGTTTGTGAACTTTCTACCTTGTTTCTGAGAAGCTATTATTTAGATGCATCCATCATCTCTTCCTCATAGTATTTTCAAATAGCAATATGTTTCATTGTCTTTCTTTGGGTTTGGGTTACTAAATCTATCATCTTACTGGAGATCTTATGGTGTTGTCAGAAATTGCATATTGTGCCCTGGATTAAGACTGTTTAGCTTGAACGTGACAAGTTGTTTAAAAATAGACTGTGTTATGCTTTGTATTCATTCTGCTCTCCAAAACTGCCTTTCATAACAATGTAAATAAAGGACTCCCAGAACTGATACAGTGGAGCTGGCACAGTTTGGAGAAAAGACTCGGCTATTGCCAAATTGACTTTAATACAACATAAATCTTAATTACATTGAACAAGCATCAGGCTGCAAGGTCTTGGGAGATGGAGTCATTAGGTAACAGTTTACAGTGAACATTTAGCTTCAAACAAATTCTCAGGCCTCCTTAATTTGCTTTGTAGTCTCTTAAAGGGGTTGGAAACAAGAGATTTAATATGGATTCACTTTATGCCCAACTCATTTAACAGTATCCAAAGCTGAGCGCCCAGAATAGGCTAGAAATTGCTAAAATAATAATTCCCAATCGTGCAGACAATTGACTTACAAGGTTGCAGATGGCATTAGTGACTCCTGGAGCTGGGACCTCTGTATCCTTCTGCTTTCCCACATCTGCATCACAGGGCTGAGACTTGCAACTCTTGCCCAAAGTAGATACTGGGTATGATGTTCTTTCTTTTAATCCCCACTAAGATTTCTCTCCTCAGACATGTTTCCTAATCCAGCTACTAAATGGCAGCAGGTTTCTAGATTTGGTTTCTAAAACACATCTCTCTTTTTTTTCTCTCTCTCTCTTTTACCAAATTGCTTTCAGGTAAAAACAAGTAAAACAGATGAGAATGGATTTTTAGTTTTTCCTCTCTCAACTTCGGTTCTCTCACAGAGATATTGCCACAAGCAATATCTCTGAAATATATTTTTAATTCAATGTGCTGCACCCATTTTACAGATTTTCTTAAGGACTGTAGGGAAAGGTTACAAGATCGTAGAATGGGTTGGATTGGAAGGGACCTTTAAAGATTATCTAGCCCAATCCCCCTGCAATGAGCAAGGACATCTTCAACCAGATCAGATTGCTCAAAGCCCCATCCAGTCTGACCTTGAATATTTCCAGGGATGGGGTACCTACCACCTCTCTGGACAACCTGTGTCTCTGTAGGCAAGAGTCAATTTTTCTCTTGTGTGTGAAGTATCAAGAAATCACTTAAACTTTAAAAAAAACCAACAAACCAGGATTAAATTCCCTTTTCGTACAGCATATTTGATTCCTTGCAGGTTTCTCACATTCTCAGTTGAATGACTCCAACCTGAGCCTTGCATGGGAGCTCCATGCGTTCACCCTTTGACATCAACCCTCCTTTAAATTGCCTCAAAGCATCGCTACCAACTCATTACTCACTTGTTTAAAAACTTGGCCTCCCTCTCCTACACTTTCATTAGGACATTTCCTCCTCCCTAAGAAACACCCTGTGCTTTCTGCCTGCTGCCAGCAAAAGAGGTAAAGCAAAATGGTTATGAGCGAGCCACTCTAGATTAAACACATCCAGGAGGAGTCTGTCGAAAGCCAGGGAAGGATTGAGCAAAGCTGGTGTTTAAAGCAGCCTCCACACCCCAAGGGAGGCTGAAGGCTGCTGGGGCTTGGGCTCTGCCTGGGGGTCAGACCTCTACAGTTAACCAGGAGGGAGGTGCAGGTAGATGGACTTTAATTGTTCAGTCTCGTCTGGTCTTTAAGGTTGGAAAAGGTGCTTCGTCAGAATCGTGGTTGCTCTCCATAGCAGCTTGACTTCAGGATGGAGGGCAGTAAACCTGTCTCCTGGGTGTAATGTGGTTTCAAGAATTAATGAGACTTAAAATATGCTGCTTTTTTTTTCTTTTTTTTTTTTTTTTTTTTTTTTTTTTATTTTGCCTCACCCATAGAAATTTGTGAGGAGGTCAATTAGGGATTTACAACAGACACTTCTACCAATCCTTTGAGAAGGTACCTGGGGCTTCTGGCTGCAAGTTGCCATTCCCATAGCAAGGGACCAAGTGGGGCTTGGGGCTCTCACTGCAGCCCCTGTGAGGGCAAAGGGTCTGCTGGAACTGTGTGGGGGTCTGGGAAGGGGGAGTGCTGAACAGTGTATCCAAACTTTAAAGCGCAAAACTCCAGCCCACAGCTGAAATTCCAATTGTTGGAGATGCAGTTGCACATTTAAGCACAGAACTCTTTAAGCAACAGGGGAAGTTCTGATAGGAGCACAGAAATATTTAGTAGTCTTTGTTTATCATCCTTTTCCAGCAGAGAGGAGAGGGAGCAGTGTAGTTTCCCAGATAAAAAACGAGCCCTTGCTTTTTGTTAACATTGCTGTCACTCAGCAAATGCTCCACCAGAGCTGGCTGACCTGCTGCTCAAGGGTGCAAAAAGTGGCTTTTTCTTCCAACCTGGCAATGCACGTGTTGTAGGAGAGGGAATGCTGCCAGGTCCCAGGCAGGGAAGCCTGGCTGCAGCAGAGAGGCTGCAACACGTGGACATAAAGGACATGGTGTTATGGCTTTGTCAAGGACCTGGATGTTCTGTGTGTGCTGGAGCAGTGTTCTGCAACTGTGTGTTGTTTGAGTGCCTTTTTTCCTTAATTAAGGGTATTTTGTTATTTATGGTACTTTATCAATCCCTTGGCCATTGCTTCCCAGAAGGGTAAGAGTACAAGCAAGCTTTACATCTGAAACCTGGGTCTAAATTCAGAAATATATGACCAGATTTAGGCTGTGTCAGCTGTCTGCACTAAAAAAATTTCTGACTCAGACAATGATTAGTACCAAAAGATTTATAAAGGTTCCTTGCTTTAATTCTTTAGCTGTTGTGATTTCCCAGCCAGTTACAGGCATTTGCAGCGCTCAGGGACTGCACAGCACTGCCACCCACCCTGCAAAGTTTTTTTTCCAGAATTTTGAAGCATGTAAGACATAGTTCCCTCTGTGTGGGCAATACCAATAACTTCAAAACCTGCTTCCCAGCTTGCCTAGGAGCCTGACCTTGACTTTTTCACTAAAATTCTATATGTTACGAAAGAGTGGTGTTTAAGATGTGCAACCTAATGATTTTTTTGGTAGTTGGGAAAGGCAGGGAGACACGAGGTGGGCTGGATCCGAAGGGAAGGACGTGTGGTGGGTACTCTCCTGAACTCTGGCCATGGGGCATCACTAACCCTGTGCTCTCTGCTCCCCACAGGTCCTCCAGGGAGGCGAGGGAAGCCCGGCCGGCGCGGAGAACCCGGTGAGTGTCACCTTGTCCCAGCAGCGTCACTGAGGGCCCCGTGGGTGTCACTGGGTGGTACTGGAGCCTTTTAATAATGACACTGGCCACCCTCATCTAATGGGCTGTGGAACTGGGGCTTCCCACGTCCCTATGTGCTGGATATGAAGGTTTCTATAAAAACTAAAATAATAAACAAAAAACACTCAAAAATAGATAAAGGAAAACAAGCAAACAGTCAAAACAAACAAATCCAACTCAAAACACCCGCTGCTGTTGCATATTTTATCCATCCTTCCATTTCTCCCTTGCAGCATTCAACCCTGTTATTGTACCATCCAACATTGAAGAAGGACTGTGAATTAACACACAAACAGAGAACCCCCCGGCCATTTTTAGGTGGGAGGTGTGCTCTGGCTTGTTCTCTGCTTGTGGACATGTCTATACGTTGCCTGCTGGCCACATGATGGATGGTGTCAACATTTTAGAGTCAGAGGTAACCAAACCTCAGTCACCTGAGCATCAGTGTGCCCTCACACCGGGTGAGGTTGCAGAGCAGCCTTGCTGGGAATTATTATTTGAGCTGACTGTTTAATATTGTGTCTCTGTCACTTCAGTGTGTCTGGTGGGGGGTTGTGTTTTTTCCCCTGTCTTGTGAAATGGGAAAGCACCAACCCCCTTTCAGCCTTGGAGAAGTGCTGTTTACATTCTGCTGTAGGGTCTGAGTGCTGTTGGAGAGGGGAGAGATGCAGTTGGTGTTGCTCTTTCTAAGGAGTCAGTCAGACAGGGATGTACCTTGAAAGCCACACAGTTTGCAACTGCCTCTGTATGAGAGAAAACAGCAGATTAAATTATCCACTTCTCTGCTCTTAGGTTCCTGAATATGGAGAGAAGGAAAGAGGACCAGGTAGATTTTCATTTAGCAGGGAAGCTGATTTTGTTCTCTGCTGCCTCTTGCTATAGAAAATACATGCCTGGGTTTTCAAAAAGGGCAGCTCTGATCACTAATATTTTAAACAATTTTTTTTAACTTTGGGGGAAAGGAAATTGAGGGGTTTTGTGCTGCACACCAGCAGCATGTGAACTGGTGGATTGACTTCTACGGAAGGCAGGCAGGCATTTCCCTTCTCTTCCACTGATGATATTTCAGTACATTAGGTGTTTTCTGAGATATTTTTGTTCCTGAAGCATCAGGGTTTTACTCCTGGCCAAAGGATGGGTACTGCACTAGTTGGGGGGGGGGGGGGTGTGGATCCCAGCCAGCTTCATTAAACCCCATTTTCCTTGGCCTGTAGGAATAACCACTAGACAGCTTTGATTCTTTTTTTTGGTTGGCTTTTAGCTGTCACTAATGGCTTCAAAAAGCACAGTGGAGTACAGCATTCAACCAAGGGCAGCTGGAGAGGTCAGCCAATGGATCTGATTTTGTATGCAGGCATTTGTGTAAACGCTGTCCAAGATGTGTCTTTAGTCCATACAAAATTCTGGGAGGCAGTGCTGAGCTTGCACGTGCCCTTCAATCCCTTCTCCCCGTTTCATCCAAAAGCTTTTGAAAAGCAGCATTTGCCCTCATGCTGTGACATGCCTGCAAGTGCCACTTGAGCATCCTTCTGAAGCAGAAAGCTGCCAGGAAAAAACAGCAAGAAAAAAAGCATTATAGAAGAAACAAAACAAACAAACAAAAAACAAAAACAAAACAAAAAATCGATTATTGATATCAAAAGAAAATTCAAACCACTAAATAACTTTTTCTGAACTTCTTTGCAATTGTGGAGGAAAATCAAGCAGGGTGCAGCAGCCACCTGCAGCAGCACAGAGATGCACACTCAGATGTGCTCGATGGGGCACAGCAGTGAAATCCCAGGAATGCAGCTCGGTCCCTGTGGATTGTCCCTCTGCGCTGCAGAGACACACGGAGAGCAGGCGTCCCGCCGTGTATCGCTCTTGGCTGAGCTGCCAGATGTTGTTTTTCCAGATAGCTTGCATATATATTCCTATATTTGTTTGAGAACCTGACCACACATAAACCAGGTCCTTGTTCCTTCACTACAGCTGATAAATGTGAATAAAACTTTGTTTGTGCAGCACGCCGGTGTCCATCTCCAGGGACACTGCCTGGTTGGAGCTTCACAGACTCCAGACAAATGCTGTTGGAGAGCCAGAAGGCTCAGCCCAGCCAAGGGGAGCATTTTTTCTGGCAACTGTTGAAAATGGTCACGTTGAAAAACTTTTTTCTGATTTATATCGAAACTTTCAACTTATATCTCTAAGAAACAAGCAAAGAAACTTTTAAGAGATACTTCTGTCCCTTTTAAATCACATCCCTCCTACCAATTTAAACCAAGACTTAAATTTGGTTTTTTGTCTTTTGCCTTGATGGATTCAGATTTTTTTAAAAAAAATATTAATCCAAGAGTTGTGTTTCTCTAAACTGAGAATCCATCATCCTGAAAACACGCTCTCCACCACAGAAAGACATCATACATAAACCATTTCTGAGGATGGGGGTAATTAACTATTTAGATGTTTGGAAGTGGGGCAAGTCTGGCTGGATGTGCTGCAGAAAGCACTTGTTAAACCATGGGGATGAACCACCATTGCCCCTGGGACCTGCTGAGGGCAGGCTGTGGGTTTCGCTGGGGCCCTGACTCTGGGCTTGGCTTAGTTTATTTTGTTGCAGAGAAGCATAAAGGCAACAAGTTTTCCCCATGGGAAGCCCCGGAGGGCAAGGGGGGGCCTGTGCTAAACCTCAGCCTTCCCCTGGGCTTCCTATGTGGGCACAGTCATCCCCACTGTCATCCCTTCCCTGACCTCAGACACAAAGATCAAGTACCTGGGGGAGTGTTTCTGCTGCTGTCAGCCCAGCTGAACAAACCAGGGAGTAATTGAGTCAAATGGCTCCATCTGACACATTTTATTTACTCTCTCCATCACCTGGCCCTGTGGGAATCACTGATGCAGCAGTGGAACAGCAGACGTGTCCCGGAGCTGGTCACTGCAGTGACAGTCACCCAGACACCACCAGTGTGAAAGAGGTTACTTTTAATAACCAATTTATTCCACTGTTGCTACCGTGAGGCCTGGAAACTCAAAGCAGCAGCTTCCCTGGGGAGGTGTCATACTTGAGCTCCCTGTGGCTGTTTGGTCTGGTCCAGCACGTCCAAGCTCCATCCCAACCCTGCCAGAACCAACACACAGGTCCCAACATTCTTATTCCTGTACATGAGTGTCATCAGATTTCTTTTGCAGCTGGAAAGTTAAGCACAGCCTTGAAGACCCACGGGCACCCACCCACGGAAACAGCTGGTGTATAAAAAGAAAAACCCATTTTAATACAACTTCATGTGGGATTTTCAGCCTTCTCTGAGTGTGAGGTGGAAGGAAGGTTTTGCAGCACTCATGGCTGGTGCTGGCAGCCAGCCTGCACGTCTCAGATACAGTTCTTTTTCCGTGCCAAAGGCAAAATCAGGTTTAATGTCATGTTTAGCTTATTCTTTCAACGTGATATGTCCCAGTGAGGACACAGTTCAACTGCTGGAGTGAGTGTTTGTGAAATAACATGGATTTTCTCCAGGGACCTGGGAGGTTTTTCTTCCCCTCTTGCTGCCACCTGGTGCTGTGTGAGTGGGATGGGTATGGATGTGCAGCCCTCCCTGGGCTCTACGTTTATTTTTTGTAAAGGTTGATCCATACCGGGGTGTTCCTGAAGGATGGATGAATCAGATCCAGGATTTGGGAATTTAGTTTAAATATTTGTTCAAAGTCTTTGCATAACTAGTTGGTGGGAGGTGATGCTCGTGTCTCTTGTAACATCACACTGCTTTCTTCCCCTGGCTTGAAGATTGACCCAAAAACTGCTCTGAACCTCAGAATATCCCTCAGGATAAAACAGGAGAAAATAGACATGAAGTGCTCAGTCTGGAAAGTCTCTGGGTATGTCTCTGCTCTCCTCACATGAAGCAAGAGCTGGTTCTGGACATTAACACCCAAAGCTGATGGCTGTGGTGTTGGGTAGCCCCTGTTTGCATCAACTGTGAACAGCTACAGCTACAAAATTGCCCTTACAGGTAGGCCTGAGAGGGCATTTTTTTAATGAAGTCTAATTTCATTGGAAAATACTGACTTGGCATATTGCTTGTTTCTGGCAAAAAAAAAGTTTTGTTTGCAAAGTTTTTCCATTTCAGTAACACTTGTTGGGGGAGTGTGTCGAAACTGCTGAATTGGGATAAAAGTCTTCTGCCCACTACCCATGATTTTTGGTTTCCAAATTTACATTGCCCTGCAAATGTTGCTTTAATTTGAACTTCTAAGAAAGTTTTAATTCAGAGGTTTTTTTGTTTGTTTGGGTGGGTTTTTTTTCTTACAGCTATCCTGTTTGTACAAATATCCTGGAACAGGGAAGAATCTAAAGCTTTTTTTAAGAAGAAACACAAAGTGATTTCTGTGCAGGAAAATGTTATCTCTCTCCCAGGTCTACATGGACTGAAATCTAATATTTTACACATTAGGATTTACCCTTTTAAACCCATTAGCCATGTGACTGAGTGAACAAGTGCAAATATGTAGTTGTTCTTATTCAGTAAGCACGTACCTGGGTGTATGTGGGTAAACCATGCAGAAATTTGTATTTATTTGGCGTGTTTCACTGTTCCTTGTATTTCTCATACCCAAGGGCTTCTTTTTCTGCTGAACTTCAGGAAAAATGTAACTTGTCCCGCATTTAGATTTTTGCCTAGATAATAGTTCAATACACAGTGACAAATCATTTTCCCAGATTCTCTGTAACTTCTTATGACTGTAGCAGTTGTTCTCCTTCCTTGCTGCCCATGACTCAGTTACTCCCCTTACAGCATCCTGAATTAACAACTCTATATGTATGTATATACATAGTGTATGTGTGTATAAATATGCATAGCTACGTGTTTATATAGATATTTATGTGAGTGTATACATATTGTTTTTAAATTAGCATTTTTTACATCTTCAGGTGGCCACACATGTTTGCCACCTTGGGGATGGGCTCTTTGCCCATTAGGGCTGCAGCAAAGTCCCCTCTGACTCTTCCTGAGCCGTTGGGAAGGTCTGGCTGGTTTTGTTTCCCCCGCCTGGCTCTCCCCTCTCGTGGCAGGAAAGCTTTCATGATGAATGATTTGCACATTTAACAGAAATGATATCTTATCCCAAAATTCCCAAGCTGCAAAAATACTTAGAAATAAATGACTGTGGCCTGTCATTTCCCATGTGTTTGTGTATTGCTGGGGATGATGCCACTGTGACCTGCTAGGGCTTTGGATATACAAAATAACATTAATGTTAGTCGATCAGGAAATCTGGGTCATTTATTTTTAATGAGTTTTGATTTCCACCTCCTGCTAGCACAGCTGTCCATGTTCTTAAGGAATCTCTTGGTGTTTCCAAATTTCTCCATCCCTTACAGGCTTGGGCACTAGTTGTTCACTGCTGGTGAACAGCAGCATCATCCTTCTTCAGAGTAAATCAATCGTAGACCAAAATCTGTGTGTTTGCAGATTATTTTGTCTTTCTTCTCCTCCTTCTGAAATCAGCCCCCAAGTTAATTTGTTATGGAATTTTAAATACATGAAGGCTGCTTCCAACTTCTATTTGTTATGAGAAGAATTTCTAAGTGGTTTCGTTCTTCCTGATTCTCATTAGTCAAAATTATTAGCAGTAAATTCTGGCAAATTTCTCTGAGAAAATCATGCCTCTTATGCAATGTGCCCACACTGGTGAGATGGCTGGGTGGGGGGCAGCCCCTGGGTAGATGATCAACGTCATTATTTATTGTTGGCTTGCAAAATATTTGACTTTCTTCCATAGGAAACAAGTGTCTTGTGGCTGGGCTGTTGAAAAACATGTTCTGCAAGCCAGAAAGTGATGTTGTTCCTAGGAGGAGAAGAGATTAGTTCAATAAGTTTCACTTTATGCCTTAATGGAGATTTATCTAGCTCTGTTTCACAGCACAGTGAAAGATTAGTGTAACTCCACTGATATGGCTGGAGAACATCCCAGGGACCATATACAGACCTCCCCCCAGTCAACAGTGATTCCTGGATTTGAGAGGGAATCACTTTAAAGGGCACTTTCCTGCACATGTTGGGGTTAAAAACAGTAGCCGAGAAAAGGCAAAAAGGCAACAAATTCCAAAGAGATTATAATTGGTACATGATTGAAATCCCATATTAAAATAATTTCCTGTCTGCTTCTTATTTGAGACTCAGTCTTTGACTTTTCCACAGAAGGGCTTTTGTGGGCAGCTCGGTGTGAGTGAGTTAATAAATCGGGTTTATGATTCTCAGTTAATAAACTGGCAGAGAGCCACTGACTTCTGTATTCAGAAGAAATTAAACCAAGGGGAGCGAGTTCAGAGCCTGTGTGAATTTTGGCACTAAAGAAAATGGTCTCCTGACACGGAGGGAGATGTGGAGGTTGTCTCCTGCCCTCCATGTGCACTTGGCTGTGGCTGTGTGACACTGTTCAGGTGACAGACACAGGTTGAGGGGATGGTTCTTGGGTCACTGCCAGTCTTTACTTGGTGCCAGTCCTCATTCTCAAGCTTTTCTTGTTTTTTGGTCTTTGTTTGTTTGGTTTTTTTTTTAATTCAATTTAATGATGTTTCAGTTTTAAAACTAATTTTGAAAACCTTGAAAAGGCATTTGTTTGAAATATGCTTCCTGATTAATATTGTTGAACAACCTAGGATGAACAAAGCTGATTTTTTTTTTCCCCCTTCTATTTTAATTTCCTCACATCTTTCTTTTCTAAGTGTGATTAATTTCTGGTTTTGATCAGAGCATGAAGAAGTAGAACAGAGCTATAGGCTGCCTCGTGAACAGGAGTGCAATGTGGGTTGCTTTGGATTAGGGTGCAGTGTTCACCTCTGTGTAGCACCAACCTGGGCAAGCAGAGGGAAAACTGTAGAAATTGGGGTGGCAGGTGGTGAAAAGCCCTGCACTGCTGGGGAATATGGGGGAGATGTTTGGGTTTTTTTTCTTCTACTGCCATGAATCACAGTGTCAGACTGTGGCACTGGCACCTGAAGGTGCCAATCTCAAGGAGATGTGAGGGGCATTTCCCTGGATCAAAGGCACTGTGCATCAATCCCCTGGCTGCCTCTGGGCACAGCAGAGCCCTTGAGCAGCGGCCACATGGAAGTGACACAGAACTGTGGGGTTGTGTGACATGTTTTGGGGTCAGGGAGTGAAGGAACCAAACAACAGCAGCATCTGGGATCTGTGGAAGCTGTAACAATGTCCTTGTCAGGTGCCCAATGCACTGCTCCTCTGGTTTTTGCAAGCCTGTCTCCCTCTCCCCTTGCACAACCTGAAGAAAAAATAAGGTCCATGGTGAAAATATGGTTTTTAATACATAAAAATTTGCATGTTTTTCCAGCCACATCTGCCTGCTTTTTGCTGGCACTGCTCTGTGGTTGCAGGGGATGCCCCAGGCCCTCATGTCCTGTGCGTGGTCTTGTGGGGGGAGAGGGGATGGCTCTTCATATCCGTGAAGCCTGGGTGCTTCTGTTTGTAATCCCCAGTCACACTGGAGAAAAGGTGGGAAAAGACTGGTTTTGCACCCCTGTCAGCACTGCTGTGCCAGCAGCACGGGTGAGATGGTCCTGCAGCAGGAGGATGCAGAGGGTGTTAAGTGCATCTGGAAAGTCATCCCGTGGGAATTGAACTGGGAAGTCCTGAACAGATCTCATGTTGGTTACTGCTATGTGCTGTTTTATCAGATTATGCTTTTTCTTTGCAATTAAGTGACTTTTTTTTTTTTCTCTGTTTTTCTTTTGTTTTCCAGGACCTGCAGTAAGTATCGTGGATTTTACTGGTTGGATCAACAAAGTTAAGGCTTCCCCTTTCCCTGCCTTTCAGTGTCCTTGCAAAAGCACAGCATTTTTTGGTAGAGGTGTGTCTGGAAGCAAAATTGGTACCAGATGCTGCTGGAGTTTTTTTTATGATTGTAGACAAATAGAAGGGGGGGAGAGGAATTTTAAAATGTTGAACTTGCTGCCCTGAGGGACTTTCAGTAATTTTAAGCTCAGAAAATATTCAGTAAAAAAGAATTCTCCTTTTAAAGAGTTCTTTAGTCTGTCTCCATTTAACAGAAACAGTGCTGTACTAATATTTTAACATGTTGGTGGGTTCATTGGTTCTAAAGCTTTGTCTTGCTTTTCTTATCTGTTGTGTTTCCATCATTTAATACAGATTTGGTCACCTCACAAGGGGGGCTAGAGGGAAAGCCATAGCTTGCTTGCTTCTCTCTTTGAAGTCCTGGGGAGAATAATGAGCATTTCTACCAATGCAATGAGAAAATTTATGGGGAAATAGTTGTTTGAAGGGGTAATAGTTGAAAATGTGTCAGCTCCTCCTTCCAAGTGTTCAGACGTGCTTTTGGCTGTGCCACCACGTTCAAATCTGTTGTTCTCCTGCTGGTTTTGGAGTGAGAATTCATGTTTTGTTTGTGCCCTCCAAGCTGCTGAGGGATTGTTAACAAAAAAAAAAGAGATTATGGGTATTAGGTGCTTCAAGTTTTCTGTCTTTCTTCCCCCAAAAGGAGGAGGAGGGGAGGTACAGGCTGTTTGCAGCCACATTTCCTTCTCTGTCATTACAATAACAGAGATGTTTCTTCGTGTTGTTCTTTTCCTGTAGAGCCTCACTGGGCTAAAAAGGGACTATTTTAGGAAAAATTAAATTTGGTTACTATTCCTGGGCTCGATCATTTCCAGTTCTGTAAATGTGTTTAAAAGCCAAAAGGTGATTGGGGATGTACCTGAGGTGTTGGGGTTGTAACAGCACCATGGCTTCGGTTCTCATGGAATCAGCAGCGCTGCCTGTGGGTTTAGTTAAGGGATTTCAGCCCTTTGAATTTTTGCTTCTATTTCAAGTTCGTTTTTTAATGTAAAGACTAAAGAGGGAGTTGAGCAGAATGATTATTTGGGCGGCTTTTGAAGGAGCAAATTGGGAGGTTGTGGAGAGCATCCGCTGGGGCTGAGCGCAGACGAGTGGAGTCAGGGAGGCCTTTTGGGTGCTGGAGCTGGTCCCCACAGGGCTTCTACCTGGCACTTACTTATTTTTTTTCCCAATATGCCATTCATGCAATTTGGCTTAATTATTTAAGAAAACAAGTAATTTCTCACTCAATGTCAGGTTACAAGTGAAGAGGATACTGGGATGTTGCCTATTTAAAACCCCATATATACACCTTTTAAGGGACGTTTTCCTCTTGGCTGAAGTGCTTTGGCTTATTTAAAATGGATGTATTTGGCTGTTTTGGTTCTGCTTCTGCTCAGGGGCTGTTATCAGCCCACACGCAGCCGGCTGGGTTACACACGCTGCCTCACGTGTGCTGTCTGGTCACGTTTATTGTATGTGATTTGACATAGGCAACATATGGTGCACTATTAATTTTTCTTTGTCTCTAGTTGGTTTCATTTCCTGGTTCCCACGGCACTATTGAATTGCAAACAGAGCACAGGGGAGATTTAACACAAACAAGACATTTTTTTATCTCTTTTTTTTCCCCTCTCTCCCCTTGCCCTTCTTTAAAAGACAGCTCCTGGTTTAGTTCATTTTTGGTTTGGGGTTTTTTTGCCTTTTTTTTTTTTTTTTTAATCCTGCTTTTTAGCATAAGCAGCATTTGCCAGAGACTTCTTTAAGCATAATATATAAGTCCTAGAACCCACAGAACCACAATGTTATTTTATTTCAGCAGTACTGTATTTATTAGTTTCCTTTGTTTCTTGATTTTGGCCATAAGGAATCAATTACTCCTTACATGTACAGCATCACACTGCTCAAACCTTATCCTCAATTCTGTTGTTCCCTAGTAGCAGTTGTTCTGGTATTTTATTTTTTTTTTTGGCTGTTATAATCTAGTTATGTGTATGAAATTACTAGAATTTGTGGTACAGGATTTGTGGCTGCTGTATGATTGATTGTCCTGTCTGTGAGTGAGGGGGTTTCTGCTCAGATATGCCATAAAAATCTCTGTTTCGGAGGGTATTAAAATCACATGCTGGGTAGGAAATTTCTACAATTGAAAGATAGACTTACCACAGACTGTAATTAAACATTTACAGTCCCAGATATTAGCAAACACATTACGTATTAGCGAGGGCTGGGCATTACAAGTGTTTCCGATTTATCCGTGTGTGCTCCAGTGCCATACGTCTCCATAAAAATCTCACTGTACACTTTATCCCGAGACTGTAATTTGTTAAATAGGCGGTTGTCGAAGTCAACACTGTTTCTGGATGGATCAGGAGGGTGCTGCAGGAGGCATTAGAGGCCGCAGGGGCGCTCAGGGAAAGGGAGGGGGCTGTTCCATGCCACGACAAATGCCCGACTCCCGCAGCACGCTGACATGACCTGTGTTTGTGGTAGCAGATGACATTGCTGTACAGGAACACGCTTTACTGCCTACTTGTGTACCAGCTAATACTTAACAGCTCCTTCCAGGGAGTCTGCCTTAGGTCTGGCTTGCAGCAGGCTCTGCTGTGGCTCACGGCATGTTTAACGGCAGCTCGGGCTGTAAACGCCTTTGGGAACCTCCCGAGGGGAGCAGAGAAGGTGAAATATCCCGAGTGGGCTGCGTTTTCTTCTGCTGATCTCGCAGGTGTTACTGGCAACTTGAGCAGGGTCTTTCCCCGTGGCATCAGCTGTGCTTTCTGCTTCATTGCAAAGCGAAGCAAAGCTTAGATGTGAGCTGGGAGAGCTGCATCCTGTGAGGAAACTGATGGATCTAAGAGGGGGAAACCTTCTCTGAATCAAGTGCTGGAACAGGAGGTTGGAGCTCAGTGACTGCTGTCCTGGCCTCTGGCTCAGCAGCTGCAGCCTCCCTGACCTCTCCCCAACCCCTGGGGTGTTTCCAAACCTCTTGGTACCCCCATCCCAAGGCAGGTTTATGGCCAGGATCCAGCGTGTGCTGTGCACATCCCTGGCTCCAGGGGCAGCAGGGAGAGAGCACAGACAGCAGGGATGGGTGCGAGTTGGCAAAGCCCTCGGTAAGTAGCCAAAGGGGGGAAGCACGAGATGAAAATCTGGGCAAAATAAGCTGTAGGTGTGACCATTGCGATAGGAAAATTGCCCCGAGAGGTTTCTCAGGAGTTCAGTGCCAGGGCTGGCTGGGGAGCTGATGGCCCCATCTCCTGCCTGCTGCTGTGTTGTCGTGCTGCTACAGATGCATTGACTGACTTGTCTCCCTTGTTCCCCCCCACAGGGGCAGTCAGGACGTGATGGTTACCCGGTAACTCCGCCATTCCTTTTATTTTTATTCGCTTCTAATCTGCTCTCTGTGGTCCTCTCAGTCTTTTCCCATGACTTGAATTTCTTCACCTTTTTTGAGTTCTTTTTTTTTTTTAATCCTCTTGCCTCCTTCTTTATCAGCAACAGCTTTTGAGGGATTTAGCCCTAAAAGGCAGAAGCCTGTGCAATAATGTTTATAGGGGTGAAATACTTGAGCCCTTTTATGGTGGTATTCATGCTCTGGCCTAAGAGTTCACTGGGCTGCAAAGTTAGTGAAGGCTTTGGGATTTGTCCCACTTGGAGCTGTAAGTGGCCAAATTTGAGGACACTGGTGAAAGAGCCTCAGGTATTGAGATAGATCCTCATTTACCCATCTCCAAAAATTTTTCCCTGGGAGCAGAGATGTCCTGCTGTGACATGCAGAAGGTGGGAGTCCTTATTCTAACTGGATCTCAAACCACAGGCTCTCATCTGGCTCCCCTCATCCCCACTAATGCACTTGGTTGGCCGTGGTGCTCCAGCTCCAAGGGGCTCAGTGCTTGGTGTAATGGGTTGGTAAAAGCCACTGCCTAGGTTCTCCATGTTCACAGCATGTTTCCATCTCTGTTCCTGTTTTTTGAATGGGTGCAGCAAGTCCTGTGCTGCCTGATGCTCTGGAAGGAGCTTCTTGGCTATCATAGCCTTCTCCTTCCTGTGCTTGATGCCCCTTTTTCTTTTTTTTTCCTGAGGGAGTGTGTCAGGAGAACTCCCTCCTTGTCTCTGCCACCTCGTGCCCTCATGCCCAATTCTCCTTGAATGCCCAAACATCTGTTGAGTTTTACATGTGTCGTGGAGCTCAAGGGAGAAGGATTGGAAGGGAATTCCAGAGCTGTTTGCAGTTTTCACTTCCCCTGGACCCCTGTGAGCCTCCCTGGGGAGGACAACAGTGTTTCCCAGAAGGGGAGAGATGGGAGATGGGGTTAATTCTGCAGAATAAACCTGTGCTGCCGTTGCATCCCTAACACAAAGGTACTGAGGACTTCACCAAATGATTTGGGTAAGTTTAGCATGAGGGAGGAGCTGGAAGGCTGTGAGTGAGCAGGGCTGTTGGTGTCCAGGGAAGGGGTTTGTCTCCCTCAGGCGGTCCCTGCCCGCAGCAGCCCCGACCCCGGAGATGCTGGAGCAAGGAGGTTGTACAGATGTACCAGTGGTCTGCTGGAAAAAAAGATGTTGTTTCTTGGAAATCAAGATGTGAGACTTGGCTCTAATGGGCTGTTTAATGGCAGTTTTAGGGGCTACTCAATCTCAGTTTTAGGGTGGCTTTTTGCCCTTGTGGGATGTGGCGAATCACTGCAGGATTAGCAGTGCCCATGGCAGGTTTGTCCCTTCTCCTCTGTCTCAGTCATATTCTGGCAAAGCCTGTGTGTGTGGTTTGGTTATAGAGTTCTGAGAACCAGAAATGCTGGGAGAAAACTGTGACTGTTCCCTAGGGCAGAGCACCATCACTGTCCCCATGGGCAGCCTGGCACTTTGCCCATCCCAGCTCCTGCTGGGGGTTTTTGGTGCTGTTCCAGCTTTCCTGGATAGTGTTGGGGACTGGCAGTGACTCTGTTGCCATGTCTGCACTGGGAAAATGGCAATAACATCCCCCAAAATTTTTTCCTCTTATCTCTTACCCCCAGGACCTGCAGTCCAGGTGGGCTGTGGGGCTGGTCTTATTCCAGACTTTGAAACCCAGCAAACATTGAATTAATATATCCACATGGCTGTGGCTGCACTAATTACCTTTATCTAATGAGGAGGTGAGGATAATTGCGTTTCCAAACCAAGATGTATACCTGAAGGAGGAAACTAAACATAAAGCAGGCTTAAGAGTATTATTCAGCACAAGCATATGAACAGGTTTTATTACATCCAGTTGTGTAGTCAAACTGATTTAATTATTTAGTTCCCTTCAGGGTGATCAAATAAACTCTGAGCTGCTTCAGGAGGAGGATGTGGTGCAAATGCAGAAATTGTAGGTGGATATTAAATGGTGTTTGGTGTCAGGGATAGGTGTAGTGACACATTCATCCCTCGACTAGCAGTGCTTTGTTTGTAAGCTGCTGGTTTATAACTGAGCTGCAAACAAAGGAAGCTTTAAAGGGATGAAATGATCCAGAGCTCTGGAAACGGGGCCAAAAGGGAAAACAGATTTTATAAGATGATTTCAGTATTTTTATACTCAACATCCTAAGAGGAGGGGTTTGTGCCCTACAATAAAACTTTACAGCAGAAACAGTTTTTTTTCTTTATGAAGTTCTGTAGGTTTATTATTATTTTTGAAACTCCAGAGAGGATTTAGTTTCTATTTTTAATCCTGTGGCGTATTCTACTAACATCGCTGCAGCAGCTATGGAGAATGCTGGGATGTGCTGATCTTCTGGTTGTGTTTGATTTGGTTTTGACATCCCATTGATCATGGATCACAACACTTGCCTGTGTAATTTGCACTAAGTGTCAGTGATCATAAGCTCCTGGGTTTTGGGTGCAAATCTGCTTAGTCTGAGAGCCTGCCTTGCTTCCTGCTCCTGAACTTGCAAGAATGGAAATGAATGCACCAGAGAGCAGTAAGGCTTTTACTCTTCTTTTATGCCAAAAAACTGATCTTGGAAGTTTCTTTTAGAGAAAATTACCTTGAATGACTTCTGCGGGGAAGGAGAGCACTTTACCCCAAAGATGAAGGGGAACTGGCAGGTTGCTTTTCTCGTCTGACATCTGAGTGGTCCTTCTTGCAGCACACCACAGTGTTCCTCTGGTTCTTTGTGCTGGTGGCTGGAGTGACACGTAGGTTTGCAGTGGATGGTGTCCTGGGGTGAACCAGCAGCATTGGTGACTGAAAACTACAGCATAAATGGTTCTTTTATACAGAAATCCCAGAATAATTGGTAGTTGCAGAATGGTTATGGGGCTCCAGACATGGTCTCTGAGGAAAACACAGTGCTAAAAATGCAGGAGAATGAGCATCTCAGGAGAGAGAATGACAGATTTCAGACAAGGTCCTGGGCAAACAGATTTACCTTTGGTTAGCCCTGCCTGGTGGTGTTGCTGTGTCTGCCAGCCCCTGCTCGGGAACATGCCTGTGGTTGTGGTGGTGGAGCCCTGGTTGTCCTGTCTGTGGGCTCTACAGGGGTCCAGGTGTGTGCTCAGGTCTCCCTGCTGCCGTGGAGGGATTTGCTGCAGGAGGGCCACCACCCACTGCTGGTTTAGCTGCGTTTTTTTGGTGCTTCCCACGGCCACCTTTTCTGGTGAGATGACAGCAGCCTTTAGAACGAGGGAAATCTGGAGGACACCTTTAGCCTTTGCCAAAAGACCACCTGGCCCGTCCCCAAAATGAAGCACAGCCCCAGGTTTGCACGAGAGCACGCTGGAAGCAGAGGAAAAGCAGATGTTGGTGGAAATGTGTTTCTTATTGGGCAGAACCAGGCACTGGGGCCGGGATCCCCTGGGACGTTGTCCCTCATGCTTTCAGAGGAGCACCCGTACTGCAGAGTGGTTCCCCTCCCATGGATGTGCCGTCAGTGCCTCAGCGTGTCGGGGTCACTTGTCCTGGTAAAGCCGGGAGGGGAGCTGGAGGATTGGCTGTGCAGGGGCTGCTGACGTGAGCAGGGCAGGCAGCTGTGTCTGGGCAGGAGGAAAAGGGGAAAATGAGGAGCAGATGGAAGAGCCGGGACGCGAGCTGAGCTCTGAGCTGACCTTTCAGAGCAGGGGGAACTTCGCGTTACGTAGCTGTTCAATGGCATCAGACAATGTGAGGAGGGAGAAGCGCTGCCCTGGGTACAAGAAAGACATTGAGGGGCTGGAGGGTGTTCAGGGAAGGGCAACAGAGCTGGGGAAGGGCCTGGAGCATAAGACTGATGAGGAGCAGCTGAGGGAGCTGGGGGGGCTCAGCCTGGAGAAAAGGAGGCTCAGGAGGGGCCTTCTTGCTCTCCACAACTCCCTGACTGGAGGGGGGAGCCAGGGGGGAACCGGTCTCTTCTCCCACAGAACAAGTGACAGGACAAGAGGAGACAGCCTCAAGTTGTGCCAGGGGAGGTTTTGATTGGTTATCGGGAAAAAATTCTTCACCAAAAAGGTTGCGAAGCGTTGGACCAGACCGGCCAGGGCAGTGGTGGAGTCACCATGCCTGGAGGGATTTAAAAGATACGTGGATTTGGTGCTTTTAGACATGATTTAGTGGTGACCTTGGCAGTGCTGGGTGATTGAACACAACGATCTTAGAGGTCTTTTCCAACCTGAATGTTTCTGCAATTCTAAGCAATGTTTGTGCACTGTTTTTAGCAGCCTTGCTCTCATCTCCTTCCCTGCCCCACACAGAGATGGTTCTATACTTGCCTTCAAACTACTCAACTCTCCTCCTACATGATATTTCTCCTCTTTCCCAGTGACATACTGCATTTGTGGTTCACTAGAACCCATTCTTTTCCCTCTTCCCATCTACTGGAGAGGCCTTTTGAAGCCAAAGTCTCTGTTTCTTGAGAGTTTCATCTGCCTCTGCTACTCATCCCACCCTAAAATCAGTCTCAGCCCTCACTGGTACGTGACATCCCAAATGGAGGGTTGTCACTTGAAGTAGGAAGAAACCAAAAGAATGAAGTTGATTAATGAGGGGAATTACTTCATGTGCATGTCTTCATTAATAAAAAGCAGAGCAGGGAAGAGGCTTTGTAGGAAAAAAGCGCGATATGAAACAAGAGTTGTCTCCTATTTCATGCATTTTCCTTAGAATAGTAGGATTTATTTTTAGTTGAGCAGTGTGTTATTATACTCCTCCAGTGTATAATATTTGCCTTCTGAATTTTCTTAATCCTGGAAAAACCCAGGCATCATCCTGCCCATCTCTTGCAGCACTGGGAACTGTTTGGGAAGGCAGGGACAAAAGGCTTCACATTCTGCTTGTTTAGAAGTAATGCAGCTCATTACTCAAAATAATGGAATATTGAGTATCCAGCTCTGGGGTCCCCAGCACACGAAGGACATCAG